GGTTGCTCGTATTGAGGTGCAGACCGAAGGAATGACACCAGAGACAGGAACATACAGATGGATGGCCCCGTAAGTTCCTTCCTATCCTCTTCGATGAGTTCTCCTTTTTGATCAACTTATTTCTGGTCCTAGTAATGTTTGCTTGTTCACCTTAAACTCATAATAAAGGAAAGGAGGAAAATATATAAATGGAGCAAACCATAAATTAATGTACAGTTATTGTATGAAAGATCATAAAAAGCATTGGACTTCGCTGATAATTATTATTACGGAGTTGATTCTTTTTAGTGTATCAATTTTTTGTAGGGTTTTGGCTTTTGAGGTTCTGAGCTTGGAAATCCTCATGCATTAGATATACGATTTTCTAAAGAGTTTTTGCTTCGGCAGCTGTGTTGACAAAGAGAAAAGAATATGTTGGAGGGTACAAAGTTTACTGGAATTATGGGCATAAACAATAATCAAGACGATTTCTCTCAGAACTTTTATCAGAAGCTCAATGAGGGTTCGAACATGTCTATTGATAGTTATGGTAGCTTGCAGTTGAGCAATGGAGGAGGTTCCGTTGCCATGTCAATGGACAACAGCAGCGTTGGATCAAATGATTCCCATACACGCATATTAGGTCACCAGGGCCTCAAGCGTGTTAAAAACTATTCAGTAGCGGCAAGTGTCAATCGTGGGAGATCCCCTAATGGGCTGAGCAATGATGCATTGGCTCAAGCTTTGATGGATGCTCGATATCCGACTGAGGGTCTTGGAAATTATGATGAGTGGACGATTGACTTGAGAAAACTTAACATGGGGGATGCTTTTGCTCAGGGGGCATTTGGGAAGCTCTACAAGGGTACATATAATGGTGAGGATGTTGCAATTAAGCTTTTGGAGAGGCCGGAGAATGATGCAGAGAGAGCGCACTTGATGGAGCAGCAGTTTCAGCAGGAGGTGATGATGCTGGCTACACTGAAGCATCCAAACATTGTTCGCTTCATTGGTGCATGCCGTAAACCCATGGTCTGGTGTATTGTGACAGAATATGCAAAGGGGGGATCAGTGCGTCAGTTCTTGACTAAGCGAATGAACCGATCAGTGCCTTTGAAATTGGCTGTAAAGCAGGCCTTGGATGTGGCTAGGGGGATGGAATATGTACATGGACTAAATTTGATTCACCGAGACTTGAAGTCAGACAACCTTCTAATTTCTGCGGACAAGTCTATTAAAATTGCAGATTTTGGGGTTGCTCGTATTGAGGTGCAGACCGAAGGAATGACACCAGAGACAGGAACATACAGATGGATGGCCCCGTAAGTTCCTTCCTGTGATCTTCGATGAGTTCTCTTTTTTGATCAACTTATTTCTGGTCCTAGTAATGTTTGCTTGTTCACCTTCTGTTTACATATGTTATTTAGTAACATGTTACTATTTACCAACTTTTTACTCATGAGTAATTATTTTTAGGAATATTTATTGGTATACAAAGAAAAATAAAATAAATTATTTATACACTACACAAAGAAAACTCAACAACCAACAAGAAAAAACTTGTTCTAAATAAGTAACCAAAGAAACCTAAGAAATTACATAATAAAATTTGAAAATAAACACTATGAAAACACTTCAGCACATATAGTTAAATAAGAGAAACAATAATCAAATTTGTTAATAAAAAAAAAAGAAGAAGAAGAAGAGATGAACAACGAACTAAAGAAACAAAATTACCAAACAAAGAATACACTACTACAGTTATTAATTCCACCAGAGATAAAATATGGTTCAACACTATAGAAACGAACACAAGAAATATATATATATATATATATATATAGAGATATACTGGAAATGTCCAAAAGTGACAAGTATATCACTGGTTTGTTTAACAGCTTTACATAGAATATTGAAAGAATTAGGAGAGGTGTTAAGGAAGTTCAATGTATAACGGAATATCGACATCTGTCATGCTTTGAGCTTACAGATATATGCTTTATCAGTTTATTTAGCCTTACATAGTGATACGTAGCCTATCCTATACGGCTAGGCCTTTGTATTAATACTGGTCTTTGTTGAATGCCTTCTGTGTCAATTTGAATCAAATAGCAGAATGACAGGTGACTACATGTTGATGGTGTATATATTTACATTTCCATAGTGGTGGGTATATTATTATTCTGTCAAAGAGGAACATTGCTGTTCTGAATTGTTCTTCGTAGCCATTTATTTTGGAATCTCATCCTCTGATTGAGGGAAATCCTTCACTAGTGGATAGCTATATTTAACTATTAAGTTTCTTGTTGAATTATTTTTACAACCCAATTCTTCGGAGTGGAGGAAGCGGATCTTTGATGGATGACTCAAGAAGAAGAAAATTTTATGCTTCTTAGTAAAATTTAATGCTCTATATGTTACACTAATCTTTCTTGATTGTGAGGCGATCCCCCAATTGTTTTGTTTCCATGTATTTAAGTATTTTTATTTTTAAGGATGCCTCAGTTGTAATTCTCACGAAAATAAGAAAAAACTCATTCTTTTTGTTTCATGGCCTGTATAAAACTTTTTGGCTTATGGCTAGGTGCATAATTTGTTAAGATCCTTTTACCCCAATGCAAGAAGATTTACTTAAAATGGTATCAAATAAAAGACTAGAAATGAGAGTTTTTAAGATGCTTTGTTTTTTCCTTGGTCTAGAAGAAACAGATTAGAAAGAAGCGTAGAGAAAAATAATCTTTAAATAACTAATTGATGTTCATGTCTATCCAGCTTGATAGTTCTTTGCTGATTGAAGCTTAATCACTTGAATATGGACATAGGCTACCATATTAGTCTCAATTTACAAGTTTCTTTCTGGTCCTGCCCTGTTTCTCTGAGTTAGTTTACTATTTGGAGTCCTTGTCCCTAATGTTGTGGTTGTAACATACGATTGCTTCTACTCTCCCTTTGAGAAAATTTTCAAGTTTTACATCTATGCCTTTTTGACCTGAATGACTTTCATGAAGTGCCTTCGAAAGAAACAGTTCAACTGGTATCTTGTTCAGCTATTTGTGGTTATTAACTTCAAAATATAAAATATTGAGCTCATGTAGTTTCCGGAAAACATATCTTCGAAGGTAGAACGAACTTAATGATGAGTAGAAGTATTTAGGATTGGATTGCATGGGTTTAGGGAACCGTCTTAACAATATATTTCTGGAGTGTTAATCGCCTGTCATAGAACTGAAGTAAAAAAATAAATAGATGCGAAGCTCTGATTTTTGAACACTCCAGTCTTCTGCAATGGACATATTTGGCAATGTTCCAGTGGTACCATACGGTTTGGATACGAATTTTGACCAGTTCGGAATTTCAGAAATGCATTGAACCCTAAAACAGGAGGAGACTTTAAAATATAAAGATGAAAATGTTTGTATTCATAAGAATGATTCTAAAGTAAAATTGACTTTATGTCGAAATGTGAAGTTTGTGTGGTTGTCCAATGAACTCCAATGCTCGTTAGTTTTACGGCCATATCATGTTAGTCCATGAGAAGATGTAGTTTTAGTTGCCAAGTCATCAACATCACGAGATAAATGTTTGGATATTGATGAATCTACTTGAAAGATTTTGGCACTATTACTAAATTTCCAGACAAACAATTTAGTGAGAAGATACCACTTGCCCAGTAGATGGATCATGGTGGATTCTTTTTGGATGGACTATTGATGGTATGATACAAAGGAAAGTTGAAATAAATTCAGCCAATTCTCCCGAACATTGCGAGGAGATGCATTCTTTTGATAAATCTTGTAAGGTAGCTAATTTCCTGAAGGTTTTATCTATAGTAGAGGTATATCATCTGTTGTTTTCAGTTCACTTTAAATGCATCCAGTATACATGCCCAATTACTAAATGTACTAGTTCTGGAAACAGTTATACCATTGCCGACCCCTGGCCAAGTATTAAGCAAAACTTTGAGAAAACTTCTACTTAACGGTCTCATATTGAAATAATTCATATTATAGCTACCACTGTCATTGAAATTGTTAAATGTCGAGCTTGTCTGCTTTTCTCTTAGGCCCAATCCATTGACCCATTTAGGGTTATAAAGTCAACACCTCACTGAAAAGTTGGTGCGGAAGCGTTATGAAATTCTTGTAATAAGAATTATGTAATAAACTATGAAGAATATTGGAATAACTTGCTTTGATATTAATTGAATAATGATTGATTATATGAAAAGTTTACAATACTGAAGATTGTTCCATGCTTCCAATAGTATTAAGAAATTGAAATTATCTGAAATTATAATCCTAATCAAATAAAAGATAAAAGTCATATTACAACTATACAAGAAATCTAAAAAGATAAAACATAATTGAAAAAATAAACTCCTAGAATAGATAAAACATAATTGTAGTAGTAAACTATTTAATTGTGGTTGTGATGTACTTCATCAATCCCTTTCACTTGAAGAAAATTCGTCTTCGATTTTGGTCGAAGAAAAAGAAAATCAATCAATCGGGAGGAAAATACTCAAAAATTTCCATCACAATCATTGTGTCTGCAAATAACAATGAAATTTTTTGACTTTTTGGGATTGCTAGTCCCAGTTTGCATATTCTGAAAACCAATTGAAACATTAAAAATCATTCCTGCTTTCAACACTATCATTTTTTGCATTAAGGTTCAACCCCGATTCGCGCACTCCAAACTAAAGCCTGTACGTGCAGATATTGTCAGGTTTGAAAACGGTTCGGGAGCATCCCTCTCCACCACAACATCTAAACCCTCGACAGAATATGAGTTCTCATAATTTGATACACAAAGATTTGATATGAAATCCCCAGCATGGTTAATCTCCTTAGATACGATAGCTAATAACTTTTCATCACCAGTACTTCTCGTTAATAGTTCACCAGAATTATTATCTTCTTGAGTTATTCTTGAATCCACGGAATCCTCAATATTTGACCCAGATTTGTTTGCACCAGTTCCTCCATATTTATTGACCAAAGAAATATCAGATACCAAAGTTGCCTCCTCATAAGTAACACCACCACCTGGTGTTAGATACTCCAGGGCACACTGGAGACTGAATGCATAATTGGCAAATTCTTGCAATTCTCCTTCAAATCTGGTTCCCTCTAATGTATTCGATCTTGGAGTTTTCTGTTGTAGCTTCCACATTCGAGGAATTAGCAGGTCTCGAATTTTCAACTTGCACATGCTTTTCTTTTTCTATTTTAGTATCATAGATGTTAACATCTTGATTATTTTGAATCATATTTTTTTGAACTTTATCATCTGCGTTATGGATCTTTTTCTCTTTGTTTGCACTAGTACTCACAAATTGCTCGTCATATGACACCAAAACAATCTTCTTATCGTACCACCAAAATATATACCTGTTATCTCGACTTATATAAGTGGTATCTACGTTACAGTACCATGGTTGTCCCCCAAAGTATATGACAGTCATCCATAACTACCACGTTACATATAATCCCATGATTCTCATCTTTATAGCATTTTCCAAGAGAGTGAAATTTTGCATACCTGTATGTTTTGAATTTCTTGCCCCCTTTGAACATGAAGCTTGATAGCAAGATATTTTTCAATTTTCAAATTTAAAGCATTTACCAATGCTTTGGATACCAAGTTCTTACTACTTTCATGATTTACTATCACATTACATACTTTATTGTTGATGGTGCATCGTGTTTTCAAAATATTCTTCCACTTCAAATTGGACTCTTTTATATCTTCCCCATAAATCCTTGCAGAATCCTTGATATCTTGCGTGTATTCAAACTTAGCTGGGACTCGAGGAAACTCTCTAGCCACTTGTTGCTGTGTTTTAAGCTTCTTGAAGCAATCAACATTCATAGCAGTTAAAGTCTGCAAATTTTTCGTCAGCTTGCTTTCCCATGGACTCTCAATTTCTTTCAAGACTCAATGCAGTTAGCATCTACGAGATGTCGTGGAAGGTTTCGTCGATCCCCTCGATTCGTTGTTCGAGTTTGTCGAGCCTCCGTTCTTCGCCGACGGTTCAACTGCCACTAGGACCAGTGTCTGCCATCAGATTAAGGCAATTTCCTCGCTTTGATACCAATTTTGGTGCGGAAGCGTTATGAAATTCTTGTAATAAGAATTATGTAATAAACTAAGAAGAATATTGGAAAAACTTGCTTGGATATTAATTGAATAATGATTAATCATATGAAAAGTGTACAATGCCCTTAAATTTTTAGGTAAAATTATTCCATACTTCCAATAATATTAGGAAACTGAAATTATCTGAAAGTATAATACTAATCAAATAAAAGATAAAAGTCCTATCACAACTATACAAGAAAATTAAAAAGATAAACATAGCCCTTGTTTGAACCCATTTTGAGACAAAGAATGCATTTTTAAATAGTGATTGATGGAGAATGTGTGGTTAAAAATTAAGAAAAAGTTTTGAGTTTGCGTGTAATATTATTTTATTTAAGAATGCATGATTGAAAATAAGTTTTAAAAGGATGAATTTTTAGAAGAATGAGGCTGAAATAAGGGGCATGATTGAAAAGGTAAACTCTTAGAAAAGATAAAACATGATTGTAGTAGGAAATTATTAATTGTAGGTGTGATGTACTACATCAATAGTCGAAAAAGGCTATTATCTAACGAGGGACTACTGGATTATTTGTTATTGAATTTCATGTTACCATATTTGCGCTCAACTTTTTGCAGTAAAAAATTAAAGTTGTAGTTGTTAGACAAAGGAAATAGGTAAGGTACAGAAAGCAGGTCTAGATGGAAGGAAACTATCATCTTATCGAGTGTCATGTGCCTCAAAATGTGGGTCAATTATGATGTAAAGGATAGTGATAAGTACTTTACTAAGGTTTAACTTATCCAGACTGGCTCTAGCTATGAACTTGCTCCAAAGTGTGAATTGTAAGAAGAGTGAATCAAAAGTGCATATTGATGATATTTTTGCATGAGGAGGAAGGCCATAGAATAAACCCCAAAGTTGAGGATTTTTTAGCCAAATCATTGAACAGGCGCCATTAGTTAAGCCTTACACATCCATCTTCAGCCATTACTTATAAGTTTGTTGATCATTCTTTTGTAAATTATTATCTGTTAGATATAAATTCTAAACATTTTAAGAAAAATATGAAAACCAATGTACCTATGAAAAATAGATCCAGACTGTGATTCTTGGCAGATCATTAACGGGATCAGTAACTGATAGGCCCCAAAGGCATGTTAATAATTCCATTAAGCTAGCTAAAGTAGGGAGAGGGGTAGTTTGGGAAGTTCATAAATAAGTCTAGTAGGATATAAGGTTAGGGGGTTCTGTTGAAGGCATTCGCGCACAAATTGAGAGTTAGAAAGTGGGGAGAGTGCCTGCCTCTCGAATGCATTGCATCTCTCTGGAATTTCTTGCTTTTCTTTTATTGTAATTTTTCATTCAGTACACATATATACAAAGGCAAAAAAATACAGCAATTGCACTCACGTTCTTAATAGCAACCTTCAGGTGAATAATAAGCCATGTTTAGCCCCCATTTTTTAGATTCATTTTTTTCTCAAATTCATTTTCGATCACACATTTCATGGACTCACAACTTTTATCAATTTTTTAATTACATATCTCATCAACTTTTAGCAAAATCTATTAAAACAATAATTTTTAGCTAAACCAAACGGGGATAAATACAACATTGTGCAATTACATATTTTGTGTTCACTAGTAGCAAATAAGGTAATTTGTGCAAGACTCTTGGGTTTATGAGAAAATAAGTGAAAACTAAGTCCTTCATTTTACTTTATTTTGACTCTGTATTTATTCAGCCAATTACTTATTTGAGAATAATTTTACTGTAATTCTGGATTCATGTTGTTTAGTTTAAGTTATATGATCAGTTCAGATATGGACCTTATATAGAGGTGCCTATAATGTTGCTTAAATTAAGAACGTGTTTAAGAGATTTTACGAATCTGCTTGTGACCTTTTGTAGTAGCTTTTAGATCAGTTAGTTCAACATGGTAGCAGAGTACACAAAGCATCGGTTTTAGTCTCGTTGCCATCCATTTAGCCCTTGTTTGAGTCACATTATTTTCATAAGAATGCATTTTTAAAAAGTGTATTGATGGAAAATGTGTGGTTAAAAAATAAGAAAAAATTTCGAATTTGCATGTAATATTATTTTATTGAAAAATGTGGTTGAAATGATATCAAATCACTGTTTAAGAATATATTTTTTGAAAGAATGTGGGTCAAACAGGCCTTAATGAAATTAAGCGTTAGGATTTGATGCGGAAAAATAGACCCCACCTACATGTGAGGGAGCGTGTTGAAGATAAAATTTAAATGATATTCATGCAGCCCTTTTAAATAGCTTAGATTTTAGATCAAGTGGTTCAATATAACACGAAGATTAGTTAAATATTTATTATATTAGCCGTCCAGTAAATGTTCGCCAAGTATTCTGATATTTGCATAAGCTATACACATCTTTTGAGGTTGCTGAACAATTACTAGCCTGTGATACAGTCTTGTAGCTATATTTCTGCAATTAGCTGATAATGTGGTGAAAAATTTTGGGGTTAGTGGCTGGGGGATGGGGCTGTTGTAGGATTGCAGTGAATATGGAACGCATGGTGGGGTAGAGAAAAGCCAGTGGGAACAACAGTGTATTTGAGGTTGTCAACCACAAATAGTTGTATTGTTGGCATCAGTTCTAGTCGATAGGGTAAGTTTATTACCTAGTGCTGTCAATTTTGTTGGCAGATGTATTGTTGCTGTGCCAGTAATACTAATTGATGTTTCTTGGAAATGTAATGGGTTTAAGTAATGATATTTAGCCCTTGTTTGGTCTCCATTTTAATGAGGTTTTAGGGAAAAATATATTTTGGAATAGTGATTTTTTGGGAAATGTGTGGTTAAAAATGAAGGAAAAGTTTTGGATTTACGTGTGATATTATTTTATAGAAAAATGTGTGGTTAAAAAGAAGAAAGAGAAAATTACATTAAAATTAAAATGGAGCCCGAACAGGGGCTTAATCTTTTTTCCATCTGGTTCTACAACTTTGTGAATACAATTTTCTCAGTATGGTTGTACAACTATTCTGAAGAAATCAGGTCACTAAATCTTTGGGAGTTGTGCTCTGATCCTTAATGTGTAAATGTTAATGCTTGTAAAGCTGCAACAAGTCGGGTGATGTTAGTGCATCTTGCATCTGTGAAGATGCCTGGAGTCCACAATGGTGCTTATAATAGTTGTCTAACAGTACTCTTTTAGGGGATTTTATTTCTGTTGCAGTTGATTTTTTTTATTCCCATTGAAACGTTGGAACTTGATACTTGGAATTCTTTTCCCTTTCTTCTTTCTCCCAGTAGTCTTTCTACTCTATTTTTAAGCATCTTGTTTTCTTATGAGTTAGTTACTGTTTTTTGGTTTTGATTTGCAGGGAAATGATCCAGCATAGGCCTTATACCCAGAAAGTTGATGTGTATAGCTTTGGGATTGTCCTGTGGGAGCTTATCACAGGGTTGCTTCCATTCCAGAACATGACTGCTGTTCAGGCTGCGTTTGCTGTTGTCAACAAAGGCGTCCGTCCCAGTATCCCCAACGACTGCCTTCCAGTTCTCAGTGGGATCATGACCCGTTGCTGGGATGCTGATCCTGATGTTAGGCCCTCCTTCAGTGACGTAGTCAGAATGCTTGAGCATGCAGAGACTGAGATCATGACAACTGTCAGGAAGGCCCGTTTTAGGTGCTGCATGACTCAACCGATGACTACAGATTGATCATTGATGCAGGGAGAAGATATTAGAAGCAGTAAGAAGACAGTAAAGAATTGTTAAGGAAAAGAAAGAAATAAGGGGGAAAAAAAATACTGATTTCCTGTCAGCCTTGTGTATGTATCTGGCTCAGTTTATTTCTTGAGATAGAAAAAGGAGAGGAAACTGTGATAAGAACTGCTTGTTTTGGTATTTCTTTAAAAAATTTGTGGATTTTAAGAATTGAATTAGTGGTAATAGAGGTGATTTGATGTGTATTATACTTGCCCTTGGTGCCATATTTAAATCTTTCTTCTTTCTTAATTTTACTGTTACCATTTCTATAATCTTGTGTTATATTTTAGGAAAATGGAAACACAGGTGTCATTTATCCTTTGGAGTTTCAGGAGATGGGAATTATTGTTTAAGCCCCCGTTTGTGCCCCATTCTTTTCATAAAAATGAATTTTTGAATACTGTATTGATGAAAAATATGTGGTTAAAAAAAATGAGAAGAAGTTTTGGATTTGTGTGTAATATTATTTTATTGAAGAATGTGTAATTAAAATAATGTTACAATATTATTTAAAAATGTATTTGTTTTTTTCTTTAAAGAATGAAGCTCAAATAGGGGCTAAATTTATAAATAAATAAGTAACTTTTAAAAGGAGATGCAAAATGTACTATCCTATAATTAAGCCCCTTTGGGATTTCCCTTTTATTTGACAGAAAGAGCTAAAAGGAAAATTGCATCGAGTTGAGCCTAATAACAGATTCTCTCCATGACCAATGTTGGTGGAGGAAAATTAAACCACCGTTGAAATATGTATATATCGTCTTCATTGAGACAATGCACGACTCATTCTGATCCTAATACACGTACCAACTAACCATTTGACTGCCCGATTATATTTTTACTCCATTCTATTGCCATTTAGGATGATTCGTCAAAGTTGAACGTGTATTGTACATTACTCTAAAATACTTTATAAGTGATATAAAAATAATATTTAGTACCAATTTGTTGGAGGGTTTGACAAGTTTCGGACACATTAAAGAAAATAAAATTTAGTATAGAAATTTAAAAAAAGAAAATTATACTCTCAAAGCTCACTTTTTATGATTCAAATTTTTTATAATGATGAAATACTATAAATGAACAATTTTTTTATATTATATTTGATACATAAAAAATTAATTGTTAATATATAAATTTAAATACCCATTAAAATTTCTAGATACATTAATATGAATAAATTCATTTATAATAATTCTATATTCATATAATTCAAGATTCATCAAGTGAAAATTCATTGAATTTAGATTAATATGAATGTTAACTAATTAATAATTAATAACACAAATTTCATAAATAATTAATTAAGAATTAATAACACAAATTTTATAACCGACAACAATTATGTAGTATTTATTACTAATCGAAAAACGAAAAAGTAAGATATTATTAAAATAATTGAATTGTAGGGGGTTAAAATCGTTCAAAAAATGATTCTCCCTTGATGCTATACTTTAATATATTATAGATTATAGATAAAATACACAATTCGTGTAATATGTCTACTCAAAACATTATTGAAATTTAAAACCAAAACAATATATTCACATTCACAAATACTCAAACAAACACAAATTATCATTTTTAATAATAAATTGGCTTTATGAACTAATCACAAAGGGATTATAAGCCACACCTTTTATTTTAGTGAATTTCCACAAAGTAATCAAAACATAGTCGAAGAATTGAAATTTCTCAAATAACTCAAAGAAACACAAATTATTACGTTTAGCCCCCGTTTGTCATCCCTTTTTTCTCATTCTTTTCCATTATTTTTTTTACGGTACTCATTTTTAACCACAATTCTTTATTAAAATAATATTACACTCAAATAAAAAACTTTTCATTTTTTTTAAATACACATTTTTCATCAATCACTATTTTATAATACATTTCTTCAAATTAATGGGGCTCAAACAGAGCCTTAATAAATAAAATTGTTCTCATGAACTAATCGCAAAGGGTTAGAAGCTAGACCTTTACTAGTCAATTCATAAAGCTCCAATGCCCACCAACAATACTGTTGATTATGCTCAGAACCAACGTCCATAAATTATCATATTATTGTTCTGAATAGTTAGGAGTTGTCTTATAATCTCGATATATAAGTTTTTACAGTTAGGAATTTTTCACTTCCGAATATCAAATCTTACCTGTATAGCAAAAAGGCTTCACTTTTACAATATTTTTAAAATTATTCCTTTATTTTTGAATAACTTAAGACGTTAAACTCGTCAACGGTCATTATTTGAGAAACACAATATTTTGAATAGTGAATTTTAGGAAATGTAGGGATAAAAAGTTGGGATAAATTTTAAATTTACTTATAAAATATTTTACAGTGTGAATATGTAATTGAAAATAAATATACAAAAAAAAATGAGCTTTGATTGGGAGGGCTGGAATAGTGAATTTTAGGAAATGTAGGGATAAAAAGTTGGGATAAATTTTAAATTTACTTATAAAATATTTTACAGTGTGAATATGTAATTGAAAATAAATATACAAAAAAAAATGAGCTTTGATTGGGAGGGCTGAAATTGCTTCAGCTGTTTCCACAACTAAAAAAAAAAAAAAAAAAAAAACATAAAAAAAGTTTCTTCAACTAATAATAATTGAAAAGCAGATCACACTCCAGGAATTATATGGGTGCGTTTGATTATCAATATTTTTCATGAAAAATATATTTTTTATCCAAATTTCTACTTTTATGCTGTTTGATTGTCATTTTTCTTCATGAAAAATATTTTCTACTTTTGATCGAGTGACCATATTTTCCTCAAAATCAATGAAAATATTTTCTTTAGGAGAGTAGAATTTTATTTTTCAGAAAATTTACTCTCTCATCTATCATTCACTAAAAAGGACAAGTATGATATTTTTTAAGTTAAAAATTAAATCAATCAATTACATTTAATTGATAATTTTTATACAAATAGATTATAGGCAATTGAATTATCCAAGATTTAGCCCTTGATCAAGCTCCATTATTGTCAAAAAAATATATTTTTGAATAATATATTGATGTAAAATGTATTGTTAAAAATAAAGAAAAATTTTGTATTTGTTTATAATATTATTTTAATAAGGAATGTTCATTAAATTAGTTGAAATGTTCATTGATGTATTTTAACGAAAATAATGAAGTTTTTGGATCCAAATTCCATGCTTGAGCCTGATAGAATTCTTCCCTCTCATAACTAGAAGAAAAAAACAGATCACTTCAACTATTCACTTTCTCATTTCTCAAAATCATTTCACCATGGCGGTGGTTACATCTGATCTCTCCATTTTCATTTCTATTATTCATTAATTTATTTTATGTTTTTTGATGGAAATTTTGATGATTTCATATTTTTAGGATTCCACGGGGATGACGCTGATGGATCTGATATCGTCAGACCCTTCGTCGGCAAAGCCCTCTTCATCCTCGTCGACGGCGGCGCCTCCGCCCGAGTCACCGAAGAATGCCTCTGTGGGTGCTCCCGTGCCGGTGGTGGTTGATCGGAAGTCGAAGAAGGGGACTCTTATGCAGATCCAGAGCGATACTATCTCTGCCGCTAAGGCCGCTTTCAACCCGGTCCGCACCAACATCATGCCCCAAAAGCAAAAGAAAAAGGTTCTCGTTTTTAATTTTCCGGAGACGCCTAATCGCGTCTTAGTTGGTCTTTGTACTATTACCTAATTTCAATGAATTTGCACCTTCACGAATTTTTATCTTTATTTCAGCTGGCATGAGATATCTTTGGTAGTTCAATGATAATTTTTTCACTATCATATTGTTGGACTAAATTCCCGACATTTTGAGCTTATGCAATTCTAAAACCTAGTTACACTTTCTTTTTAAATATTTATTGCTTTATGTTGTCTTCTAGCATTCTACTAGTCCTCCTTTCCTTTTACCTCTTTTGGTTGTGAATATATATGTACAGGATCACAAAGGGTGTTGCTGCATTTTGCCAATGCAGATACCTCTATTTGGTCTAGATTTTTACTTTTTAAATATATTTTGTAGCCGGTATCTTATGCCCAACTTGCTAGGAGTATACACGAGCTAGCAGCCACTTCAGATCAGGTACTTTTATTTGTCATTTTCTCGTTCTACACAGTTGCTTTGCCTTTTAAATTAATTTTTTAGAGTATTTCCTCTTTACTGGGCGTGTCTGCAGAAAAGTTCCCAAAGGCAATTGGTGCATCATGTATTTCCAAAGCTTGCTGTTTACAATTCTGTTGACCCATCTTTGGCTCCATCACTTCTCATGGTATGTGCCAAGTCATCTTTTGTTATTAATTGCTGCTAATAGAGCTAACATACATAGCTTTAGTAATACACGTAACATTCTGAATTGTGTGAAATGGGTGCTTTGATGTTACAAATACCAGTCAATGAACTCAAGCTGTTACCTGCTGCTTTGCAGTCAAATTTCAGTTTATTAAGTAATTTGATGTTAAAATAGTTAATCAGGAATTATATGAGATTTGAGAAAAATTCTCACAACGTAATGGATGTGATATGCGGGACATTTCTTGCTATACTTGAGATATTTCTGATGAACGTTTGGCTGCATAATTAGAGTTTAATCAATATGCTGATATATTTTTTGATACCTTTAGAACTGATCATTCTTTTTTCTCCCTCCTTTTCTGGGCACTAGTATACTCTATTTTCTGTGTAAAATTTGTTACATTTTCAACCTGCTAGTGTTGGAACTTTTTGCTCATTTGGATTATGGAATCTTTGGGGGGGTCAATCTATGTGAAATTATTATCCCTTTTAATCCATGTTTATTGTTATATCTTAAACAATTAAGCCAGAATACGATACTTCATTTCCTAATCCTCTCATATTCTCACACTCAGCCCCCCAGATTAAGGAGTCCGTACATTAGTACATAGTAGAACTTCAATACGCGTGGGATCCTTTACAATGAAATTTGAGAACAAGTAAAAGCTTGGCTGCATTTCACCATGATGGTTTTTTGTGCCCAGATTTTAGGATTGTTATATAAAGAGATGAATCCGCAACCTCTTGTTGGTTTTCTTCTTGTTATTGGTTAACATATATGCCATAAGCATCATAATTGCATATTCTATTAGGACTGGAAAAATGGTTTATCTCAACCTGTTAGAGGGAAAATTACCATTTAGAAATGGTTAGACGTCAAGAAAAAGGTAATAGTTGACATTTTCTGGTTGCATGATAAGGATTTGGATTTTCTAACAGTTGTAAAACTTAATATTGAAATCAGCTTTGACTTTCCCCTTATTGATATATACACTCTCATTATTTTCAGAAGTAACATTCGACATTTTCAACTTACAATGTGTCCCTACAACAATACTGTATGTAAATATATGTGTGATTTGAAAAATTCAATTGCACAACTGAAGATGTCACGAAGCCCACATTATCAAACAATGCTTTAGTTTCTATTTTCAAAATTAAATGTCAGCACATCATGCAAATAGAACCATTAATGAGAGGAATACATGCATACTGTCCGACGACAATTGTTGATTGTGGCTCTGAACATTTTTGTAGTTATTTGTAGTTATCAAATAAAAATGAGCATAGTGTGATGTGGACCATCACTACTTAATTATCTTCTAGATTAACCAAGAGGCAACACAAACTATTAACATAAATCAGAAAAGATGAAATAAAAAATTGTACCTTCACATATATCGAATTGGAACAAATTTCCAGATCTGAAAATGACAGAATATCTGAAATTAAATTGGAAATTTTAAACATTATTGTAAAAACTAAAGCTGAGATTTATGTATTATTTCTAAATTTATTTGAGATTTATAAAATTTCTAAACTTTATATAGAGTCCATGAAGAGGGCAACATTTGTATGATATATAGATTTGCAGTAATATAATAAAGAACCACTTGAACATGGGTTGATAAGAATATTTAAAGATCAGCATAGATATGATAAACAATGAAACTCATATGACAAAACGAACTAATATATCACAAAATCTCAATAGAGTCTAGTTCAATTTTCTTCTAAAGGTCCATTTGATTGCAAAGGTGGAAAAGACAAACAAATCCCTTGTAAGTTGGGAAAGAAAAAATTACCAAAATCATAGGAATGCATTTTCTATGGAATTGGCCAAAAACATGCTTTAAGTGTTTGTATCTTGAAATTCGAATTCCATTTCCACTTTCGTATCAAACAGCCAAAGTAAAAAACGAATTCCTCGGATGTTGGAGGCATTCAGTAAAATGCTTGAGAAGGCTGTGGGGGAGAGTTTGTTAAATGACTTTAGGATTGGTCAATTGCATATATCTGATTTGTTATTTGCAGATGATACTCTGATCTTCTATGATGCAGCTGTTGAGCACTTCAGGAACTTGCGTCATTTGCTTCTGTGCTTCGAAGCCGTATCTGGAATGAAGATAAACTTGGGGAAATCTGAGGCTATCACTATTGGAGAGGTCGATAACGTGGAGGGGTTGGCTACTACATTGGGCTGTAAGGTTGCGCAATTGCCTATAACATATCTTGGGCTCCCTTTAGGAGCAAGGTTCAAAAGTGTACACATCTGGGACAGTATTGTGAAAAGGGTGGAGAGGAGATTAGCGGGTTGGAAGCGTATGTACCTCTCAAAGGGAGGTCGTCTTATTCTTATCAAGTCTACTCTCTCTAATCTCCCTACTTATTTCTTGTGATTGTTTCTCATTCCTGTTACAGTGGCTAAGAGACTAGAGAGGATCCAAAGGAAGTTTCTTTGGGGAGGGTTACGAGAGGAGAGGAAATTTCATTTGGTCAATTGGAGTGCAGTTTGTTCTCCCATAAGGATTGGGGGGCTCGGATTGAGGAGCCTTGTGTTGTTTAATAAGGCCTTGTTGGGTAAGTGGTTATGGCGATTTGGGATCGAGAGGGAGAGCTTCTGGAGAGAAATATGGTATTATGGAGGGTGGATGGTGTTCAGTTGAGGGTCGTGCTACCTATGGGGTGAGTTTGTGGCGGTATATCCGACGAGGGTGGAGTGACTTTCGGGATAGAGTGACCTTTGGTGTGGCGAATGGCAATACTATTAGTTTTTGGGATAATTGTTGGTGTAGATATCAACTGCTAAGGGAGAGATTTCCTTCTTGGTATCGTATTGCCGTGATGCCATCTGCTATGGTGAATGATGTATTAGATACACATAACGGGAGCATCAGTTGGAACATTGTTTTGGGAGGGGATTACAAGATTAGGAGGTGGATGATTATGTGCAGCTATTGACCTCTTTGTATGGAGTGCATATCAGGGTAGGAGAGAGTGACCACATCAGGTGGACGCTGACAAGGGATGACATTTTCTCAGTTAGCACTTATTTTAGATCCTTATTGGGATTTGCAGAGAATTCATTCTCATGGAAGATGGTTTGGATGTGTAAATTGCCTCCAAGGGTCGTGTTTTTACTATGAACGGTGGTGAAGGGACAAGTGTTAACGGCGGATAATCTTCGATTGAGGGGGTTTTATATTACAGATTGGTGTCATATGTGCAGAAAGGATGGGGAGACGATTGACATTTGTTTCTTCATTGTGATGGTGGTTGTTTGCTATGAAATGATATTCTGGCTTCTCAGCATGTGGATTGGATGATACCAAGGCGTATGGAGGATATGTTGAAGGCATGAAGGAGAAAGTTTCGTGATAAGGACAGTAAACTTGTTTGAGACTTTATTCCAGGCTGCATTGTTTGGTGCGTGTTGAGAGAAAGAAGCATTTGCTGTTTTGATGATCAGATAAAGAGTATAGTGCAGTTTAGAGAATTATTTTATTTGACATTGTATAATTGGTTTAATGCTGCAGTTTCTAGTCACATAGATGGGCTGCTCAATTTCATAACGTTTATTTATTGTTTAAGTGTATAATATACTTCCTTTGTATTACCTTTTGATTAATAAAATATTTGATTATTAATTAATTTTTTTTTTACATAATCAGTTCTGCATTCTCAAGGCTCTTGCTCTAGTCCCTCCAATGACACATTATACTAACAACAACTATACAATAAATCTATCAAATTCAAGAAATCATTTAACATTTCCATGAATATTTATGAAATTTTGCATTACAATTTAAGCAGAAACCTAACTTCAAAAGAGAAAAAAAATAAAAATAAATAAAGTATAAAAATGACTAGGTACATAGAGCAAATGATTAAGTAAAAGAAATCAATAAGGTGGATGCATGATTGCCTAATTTCATGTTGTTTAAATTGATAATACACTTCTTCTTTATTATATTTTGATTAATAAAATTATCTGATTACCTATTAAAAAAAATTACTATTACTTTTTACTTCATAAAATTGGTTCGTTATTTGTCATTTAAATTTTTTTTTTATTTTTTAAAAATTTTTTGGGTCAACTGATGGTAGTACTAACTGCTTCACCAGCTTTTGTTTGTTCTAAACAATCATTGATGATCCTTCGATCCTCTCAAGTCTCAAGTTAAAAATTCTACTACAGAGTGAGATGGTGTTGGAGGTTACTTGTTAGGAAAGGCAGATACTAACTCTTAATTTTTAGGAGTAAAACATCAAATTAAAACGCCGTTAAAATAAGAATTTACAAAAAAAATAAAATAAAAAATCCAAATGTTTCATAAGCACAAAATGTTTTAAAACGAACGTTTCATTTGTATTTTGTTAAATAAGGGTATAAAGTGGGAAATTGAATGTTTCTCACGTATCCACACTTTTTATATATTATAGATGTTGAATGACTTTTCTTCACAAATTATTGTTTCATTGTTTGGGTGAGAAATCGACTACAACAATTTAATCCTTGTTGCTAATAAATTTGGGACTGGCAACACGAGTTCTTTTCCCCATTTTGTTTGTTTATTGCTAGATATATTGGATGATCAAATGTAACTAGATCCCTGCCAACCACTATTTTTCATGCTAGATTTAGTCATTTAGTCTATCCCTCACCATTCGAACTTTCTCTAATGAGATTGTGTCAGAGAAATATACTTGAGAATGAAGGTGAACCCATAATTGGCAAACTGGGATGGGCCTAATCCGTTTGCCCAGACCACCAAGAGTCATTTTTGTATGAAAATTGTAAATACTGAAGAAATAGAACATGAAAAACTTAGAAGCTTCTTGGACATTTTAACGCCCTCCTATATCTTAATTTGATGCCACTATTATGCTCTTACCTTCATAAATTTCTTTCTTTTCATATGTACATAACACCAATAATTTCACAAATGTATGTATGCCTAAGTTTTTACAACCGTTTTTATTCTATAATATCATAGGAATATGGCGTATGGTGAAAAAACCGGAGGAAGTGTCACACACTAGGCAGCAGTTGCCTGGTAATGGCACTCTGCCTTGGCTTCTGGGGGTCACCTTGGCACCTATGCTTGTACATTTGACTGCTAGTTGAATTGCATTTTGCTTCTGAAATGTTTTAGCTGGAAGGATATTTTACAGAAAATTCTAAATGCCTCGCAGCTTTTGTTTTTCTATATAAATCTGATGAGTAACTTTGATACATAGGCCCTTGAGCCCCATTATTTCCTCATTAAAATGAAAAATACGAACGTTATCTATCACATCAAGCCACCATATTTGACTTTTTATCTTTTGTGTGGAGTCCATAATGGCTATATTTTTTATTCTCATTTTTACAATAATATGGCTCAAACGGGGGCATTATATATTTACTTTTTTATATGAAAGTCTATGATTACTTTAATGCTTTACAACTCAACTAATGATCTGATTAAGTTCTGATTTTTGTTAATTTTGTCCCCACATCTCATGTTACTGTATTACTAGTAAAAGTTTTTTTAAAATTAAATGTCAACTTATTTCTTCTTTTTCCTTTTTCATTCTCTAGCTTGACCAGCAGTGTGAGGATAGGACTGTACTACGTTATGTTTATTATTACTTAGCCAGAATCCTATCAGACACTGGTTCACAAGGTTTAAGCCCAGGTGGTGGGATACCTACTCCAAATTGGGATGCTTTGGCTGATATCGATGCTGTTGGAGGGGTGACCACAGCTGATGTAGTTCCTAGAATAGTAGAGCGGTTAACTTCAGAGGCTTTAAATGAAGAAGCTGAATGTAAGTGATTTAAGTCCTTTCACTTGTTTGACAAGGCATTATCATCTTCTTTTGTTATATCAGATTTAATTTTTATTTTTTTGATTAACACAAGAATAAGTTGCTTTCAACACAGAGGATGGAAATTGTGCGAACTAAATTCTTTTATGTTTTTACAGTTGTATAACTCATTTTCACATGAAGAGTTGCTTGCCTTTTTCATATTTCTGAGCCTGTTTCATATCCAATATCATAGTTTCACTTGACTTGATATTTTAAGTTCTGGAATATTACCTTGTACTTTGACAAAGTTTTCCCTTCAACCTAAATTCGAGGGATTTATAGAATGAAGAAAGCAGTTGATTGTGCCATTCTATGTGTTGACTGTGCCTCTGGCTTTCACGCTTTGGTGTTAATGTCTTATTTCCATGCATTTACATTTTACCTCATGAGGATTGCCATTGCCATTTCACTCTGCCAGTCACTGTTGTCTCCCTCTCGTAAGCATTTTGATGCCATCATACTCCTGATCTGCACCACTTCTCCAATATTTGCTGTCATCTCTGACTGATCTGTAAATTATTTTCCTTTCAACTTCCTTCTGCAAACACTGAAATGAACTCTCAATTTTCAAGCAACAGACTTGTAATAGAATGATACTGTGAACACCATCAGTTGTGTCATGGAAAGAATGGCATTTGTAACATTGACATTTGAGGCTGATCAGCAAGACCCATCTAACAAGTTCAAGTTTGTTGCTGTTTGGGTGCAGAAAAAATGAACTATCAAGATTTCCTTGCAACAACTGTAAGGAGAGTTACATTGTAATACGGTCAAAATTAATGTTATTACTGGCCATGTATACTTGGAAGGTTCAATATTCTTCTGCATGAGGGAACACATTTGCATGAGAAACATTAGACCTATGTGTTCTGTAATTCTTTTCTGTTCTGTAGAGAATATGATTAAATGGAATACAGTTTTAGATTTTATGATTTCAAGGAAATTACCTTCCTTATCTTTAATATTTTGGACTTCAAATGTGCCTTCTTGCAAAAACTTTAAATCAATAATTTCTTCTCTCTCTCTCTCTCTTCTTTTGAAGTTCATGCAAGGAGAATACAAGCATTAAAGGCTCTCACTTATGCACCTTCTAGCAACTCAGAATTACTGCTTAGGCTGTATGAAATTGTGTTCAGCATCCTGGAGAAGGTGGGTTTTAGCAAATTTCCTTTTTCAATCTATGCAGGCCATATTAATAAATTATGGAAGCAATGCATTTAAAACTCTTGAACCCAATTTTTTTTCTGCATTTGTTATTTGGTGATCATTGGGTATAGATAAATATAATATCTTGCTCTGTTTCAACCATCCGAGAGTATGCTGAGATATTAAACATGTGCCCACACGGCTAAAGTCATCTTTAGAGGTTAGCTTAAATTTGCGTTTGTTCAGAAGGACATTATAATATCATTTGTTAGTTTTTAATTTGAATGGATTTTTTCTATTGGATTTGTTTTCTGTTTGATTAATCACGATGGTTGGAAAATCAATTTGTAAGAGAATCATAGTGTATATTATTTCATATTTCCCTGTCTCCATGTCTCTCCGCAATTTAGTGCTTGTTTGGGTTTCATTATAATAATATTATAAAGAAAAGTACCGTAATATGTGAATAATAAGCCCCTATTGATTACCATTATTTCAGAACTCTTTATTCTAGAAATTCATTTTCAACCACATTTACATAATAAAATATTTAGACGTAAATCCAAAACTTTTTCCAATTTTTAACTACACATTCACAAAAAATTCACAATGAAAACGTTGTTTATTCCAAATAGCGCATATCAAACAGGGGCTAAGTGGGTAGTTGTTAATGGTGATTAATATTAATGTTTGACTTTGACTTCAAATTGTAAGAAGATTACAATGAAACCCGAATGAGCTCTTAGTTCCATCCCTTTCATTAATCATTAAAATTGTCCCAAGTAAATTCAGGGGAGAATTGCAGCCACGGTCCCAAACCTTTTCTTTTTTTGTAGACTTTTCCCAAACCTTTTATTTGTGCCACCCACAGTCTCAAGCCTTTAATTTAGTTGCAATACAAGGACAAATTGACTTTTCCGTTAGTAGACTAAAAAAAATAAATAAATACAAAATTGACCAATTTTGACCAAAGTTAAAGTTTATAGTGGTAAATTTATATTTTTCCAATTAATAACAATTAAATTCTTAAATAAAAAAAATATAAAAATGAAAAGTTGCCCACCCCCAAGGTCCCTTCATCTTCAGAAACACTCCCATACCCAACCCCAAATCAAATCCAGAAAACCAGATACAGTATAGAGAAAATCCTTCATCCTGCTAGCTGTGTGTTGTATTGAATCATGAGCTTAGCCTAGAGGATTGTTAGGTTGAATCTGAATTACATATAAACATATTGCACATTGAAATGTATATGTGTTTGGGGGGAACCTCTAGTTGCAGTCTGCAGCAACTGCATGTCATTCTCTTGCCTGTCATTTCCATTTCTGCATTCCCTTGAGTTCTAGACAATATATGGATGTTGAAACTGGACGTTGGCGGAGTAGCTAGCGAAGGAATGCTGTGCATTGGTGTCGCCATAGCTGCGGAGGTCAGGGGCAATTGTTTGGTAGCCTTTGGAGGATAGATAAAGCATCCGGTGGCTCCAAGAGTACCATAGCCCCAGAAAACCATGGAGAAAAAGCACCGTCGAACCTTCTCCAATCTTGGCTACGCTCATATTGATCCTGTTTACGCTCAAGATTTTATGCACAATCTTATTGATTCCTCGGTGGCAATTTCTTCTCACTATATCTCAAGCTCAAGGAGATTCTTGGAGAGGCTAACAGCTACTATAATTAGAATTCATTCTAACTGCAATTTTCTGGTTTTGATTTGGGGGTTGGGGCTGCGGGTGGGAGGGTTGTAGAAGATGAAGGACTTGGGGTGGGAGTGGGCAATTTTTCATTTTTCTTTTCTTTTTTTAATTTAATAATTTTAATTGTTATTATTTTGGAAAATATAAATTTACCATGTTAACCTTTTAAATTTGGTCAAAATTAGTCAAAATATGTCAATTTTTTTATTTTTTGGTCAACTAATGGTCAATTGGACGGAAATGTAAAATTGTCCTGGTTCTGCAACAGAATTAAAGATTTGGGATTGGGGTTGGCACAAATGAAAGTTTTGTGTAAAGTCTGCGAGAAAACGATAGGTTTGGGATCGTGGCTACAATTCGCCCTAAATTGAATGTTGATCTTCAGTCAATATACATTCCATAGGAGGATATTAAGTTAAAGTGCATGAAACCTAGGTCTGTTGTGTCTTGTAATTTCTCTGCTAAATAGCTTTTATCAGATAATCTGGTTAATCGTTTTTTAATAATTTTAAATTGCATACTTTCGGTAACTAATAATTTTTGCAGGTGCTGCCGTTGTTTTTGTTATCATTTCTAACATTAGTAAATGTATTAATCAATCATTTCCTCGAATAGTTATCATGTAAGCTCAAATCAAAGCTTTGATTTCCTAAGAGTAATTACTCATTTTGATTGCCAGGTTGGTGAACCACAGAAAAGAAAGAAAGGCATATTTGGGACAAAGGGGGGTGATAAGGAGGTATCGTCTCATGGTGATAATTTCCTTTTAATCTTTGTTGGTTTTAAAATTGTGCAGTATGCTTAGTTGGCACTTCTCAATATGCTGTTGCTGATAGATTATTTTCTCTACATTCATGTTTAATTAATACTTTCCTGGTGTTTTGCCTCCTTAGATAAACACTACTTTAGAAGGCTTCTGGTTTATTTGATTACCTCCTTCAGAATGGCACTGTGACTTGCTTTTAAAAAAAGAAGGCACCATTTTGAGAGCATTTCCATTCAGAGTTATAACTGAGGAATATTTCCTGAGCGCCCACTTCTAGTTGCCTTGTAATATGAATTCAAACAGCCAGTTGTCCATTTTAAATTCTACGTCGTCTAAATCTCCTAATGCCCTAGTGATTTCTCGACTAAGAAATGAATTAGTTTTCTAGCTCCGTTGAACATAAGATCCCTTAATGTACCTTCAATTTCACTACACATAACCGTACATTTAAGGCTTTTCTATTTATCTTCTCTCTCACCCACAAAAAAATGCTGGAAAATAATTAGTAATATATTCTTAAACCCCTGCCTTTTTTGTTTCTCCTTTCTGGTTCAACTATAAAATAGGCTCAAATGGAAAAGTCATCGTATGGAGACCTAAACTTGTTGAAGAATTAACTGTCATGTTACTGCAAATTGACAGAAACTAAATAGGTAGGTGGAAGGATCTTCTATTTTCTTTTTCCTCCATTTCTATTGTTTCTAAATTACGCTTCGCAGCTCATAGTCGTCATCAACTAGTTATATTAAGTTCATTATGATAATCATTGATTTTCTAAGTGTTTTCTCATCAAGAAGAATTAATCTTTGGTGAGGAGTTAATAAAACCTCTACTCAATTGAGATATGCTTTCTATAAACACTATGAATGTTCCCCTCAGAGCCACTGAGGTGAGTACTCAACTATAAACTTCAGAGCTCCGTGGAATTAGTCGAGGTACGCGTGATCTGGCCCGAACACCCATGGTTATAAAAAAAAAAAAAAATTAAACACCATGAATGCAACATTTTTCCCCCCCAACTGCTTCCCCCATTTAAAAATTTATTTGAACCAAAGATGGAGAATTTTGGCATATAATACAGCAAGTGCAAAAAATGAATAATAAACAATCCCAGGTGCTATATTACAAATATCTATGTTTGTTCTTAACATACTTTAATTACAGAATTATGTGTCCAAGGGCCAATTTTTGTACTCTTCAACTCTATTTATTTTTAAGTCAATGAGCAGTGAGCTCATGAACATATATGGTATCTGTTGGAAATTATTGTATATTATAAACTTGTCTAATAATTTCATATCTTCAAAATCCTCTCAAAACTTAATATGTTGTTGTAGCAACCAAATTGATCACTAAAAGTATAGGATTAAAGAGAATAGAGAGAAGGGGGAGAGTGATAGAAGAAATGTCCAGGAGAAAGGGAGAGGACAAGGAGAAGAGAGAGGAGAATTGGAGAGAGAAATATTGTTTATTCAATTCCTCAAGAGTTAGTCTCATACGATGCATAAACCCTACTTGTATAGGGTTTTAAAGAAGCCCACTTTAGGTGGGAAACTAACCAACAAAATAAAACCTAAACTCTCAAAATATTGTTGTAAATGTAAACCTACAAGATTATGGTGGCAAGTCTTCAAATTATATCCTTAATGATTTCCATGACCAACTCTTTTTCATGGAGTTCATAGGAGATAAAAGTTCTGGATGATTGTGCAGAATGGCCCCAAGAAGCCGAGTCATCTGCCACGGACAATCTGTCATCTTCTCTAGAAATCTGAGCAAAAGAATAATTAAAAATGCAGCCAAGTTTTAAATTTTCTTCTGAAGTTTTCTTGGTAGCAAGATAATGAGACATGAATTCACTATTAAGCCCCTGTTTGTTTCCCATTCTTTCTTTATTAAAATGAAAAATATGACCGTTATCTATCACATTAAGCCACCAAATTTGAATTTTTATCTCTTGTGTGGGGCTCATAATAACTATATTTTTTATTCTCATTCTTCCAAAAATGGGAAACAAACGGGGCCTAACTTATTTCCCTAGTTGAGTGAACAGTACGAGGTGAAAAGAAGACAATAAGAATCTGAATTGTTGGACTATGTTCAATTTCAATTGTTTCACCTAAATTGTCAATATATCACGTTTAAGCTAGGCATCAATAAAATTAATGCCTTTGACTATTAAACTTGGTAGCAAGATAATTTGACACGAATTCACCATTAACTTGATTACTCTCCCATCTCACATATGACTTGTTCATGTTCATATACTCATGTACCTTTTATTTTCAAATTCTGATTCTTGTCTGAAATGCTAATGCCATTGACCAGTAGCTTCATATGCTACATTTATGCTACAATGGATAGAATTCTGCCCTTGTGCAAAATTGTGGATGAATAGGTTCAGATGAGATTTTGACACATTTTAGTTGCTCATGCAGGAAAGAACAGGTGGAAGCAGATATAGAGCATATGAGGGTCCTGGATCCCCGGTTGATACTGGGAACCTCCATTTTTTTTTTTTGTTCCATCAGAGTTTAACGGTGAAAAGAAAATCAATTCTTATTTTTCGTTGTTTGCAGATAAGAGAAGAACCTCCTCCATACTCTTCGCCCATTCATCAAAGATACGAGTCATTTGAAAATCCGTTAGCTGGCTCGGGTTCACATAGTTTTAGTTCTCATGATGAAGAACGAACATCTTCGGGAAATTCCAAATCGGGGAGTGCACTTTATGACTTTACTGCTGGTGGTGATGATGAGGTACACATTCAAGATCAACTACCTACTAGTTATTATCTTATGCTAATTTAATAGTTTATTTAGAAATCTATAAAAACTAACCAAATCTGGAATTCTGTTTTTTCCTCTCTACCTTCTTGGAGGATTTATTTGCTTATTTATTTATTTATTTTTTTTAGTTTAATATATTGATATAATTCTCTTTGTTGTTTGCAGCTAAATCTCACAGCTGGAGAAGAAGTTGAAATTGAATATGAAGTAGATGGATGGTTTTATGTAAGTATAGCACAAACTGGAATATTTATCTGACAACTTCAACATATTAATGGGATAGAGTGTGTTTCCTCCGTCGTTGGCTATTTCTTATTAATCATATAAAGCTAAACAATTGCAATCCTCGTATATCTTGACTTCTGCTTGCTGAAGGAAATGATATTTGATTGATGCAATCACAATGTCTAGATTCTTTTGTATTGACTACAATGCAAGGTAAAGAAAGTGGTTAGGATTGTCTGCTATTAGATTCATAGAGTACTCCGAGAAAATAGGTTTGAAGTGAATTGTAGTCCCGAAAATTCAATAAAATAAAGAAATATTGCACACAATTCATCTGGCATAAATTATGTAAATTAGATAAACTGAAAATATACTAAATGAAAATAAGAAAATATTAGCTCCAGGCATATGAGCAAAAGAGGCACTTATATTTTGAAATGTAATAGAATGAATGTCTTAACTAACTGTACATATCAAACACTACAATATATATAACTGCTTATTACTGATCATTATCTGTAAGTATTTGTCAACTAGTTGTTTCTTTTAAAATTACCATTGAGGCTGTTCTCACTAAAGGTCAAGAAGCTGATACTTGTGTTATGGATAGCTCAACAAGAATGACTTCTGTTGAATACCCCAAAGATGTGATATTGTGGTATCTTTACCAGTGGGGCTTGCTAAATTTCCATGATTATTGTTTTGCCTTATGTTGCGTGAGATTCTATTCTGCCTGTTGATGCCCTTTCTTGATAAACCATCAGAATTGTATACTGGTAGTTTTGTTAATTAAATTGAATATTTTAGCAACTAATTATTGCAAAGTCACGCAAACATGTACAGCTTGCAGAAGTCATAGTTTCTGGATGCAACTTAGTATGGCAATTTTATAAATTTATGCGGAATCATGCTATAAAGCTGGAAAAGACTAGCTATCAGTACTTATAATCTCAACATCTGACTTTTCTAGTATAATAGTGAATAATTGTTTGCACTTTCTGACCCAAATATTCACCTTGTAAACTCAAGTGTCTATCTGCTTTAGAAGGTGGGTTCATTTCAAGACTGCATCCGCTTATGTTCCACTAATATGTTGCCTGTTGCAGGTTAAGAAGAAACGCCCTGGGAGGGATGGGAAAATGGCAGGGCTCGTTCCTGTACTCTATGTCAGCCAGTCTTGATGCTGATGGCACTTTAAATAATTCATTCCCTGGCTTGCTCAAGACAAGTTCTTTGGCTGATTACTAGTGTTGGTGATACATGCGGATAAACCACTTCTGTGCTATTATTAGCCTGAATTGCTTGACTCATTTCTATCGGCTAAAGAGATTCTTGGAGATGTTGATGCCTTTGAGTCTCGTGTTTGCGCCATGGCTGCATATCAGTTGGTTGGCTTCAGGACTTGCTGCTTGTGCTGCTGTTAGTATTGAAGCACGTTCGAACAATTTCAATCGACTGCACTTTTATGTATTTCTTCTCTCCTGTATCTTTTTTATGTGAGGCTCGTTTGTCCTGAGATTAGGTATCTGGTTTTAGTACCAGTTCTAAGTGACCTGACTATCAAGTTTTTTTCGTAGCTTCTCTCGTCTGTACATACTTTTTAGCAATTGTGTCGAGTGTTGAGCAAATTATATTTAACCTTTATACAAATCTAATATTTTACCTTATCTTTTGAAGGTGAGTTGGAATGCTGGAAATCTTATCACAAAAATTTATACCAGAAACAGTAATGTGTTAATTCCATGAATGTTGGGTTGTGGATTCATTGTATTGGTTCCTATCTTGAATACACAGTCCTACACCCCTCTCACGTGGAGGGCCCTCCTCCACGTGAGGGGAGTGTAAGGCCGTGTGTAAACGGTTATGTACACGTAGCACTGCCCTCGCCTTTTTCCACGCTTCTCCTTCGATTGATTTGCCTTTGTTGTTCTTCCAAATCACATTATCAGACTTTTAATGAGGCTATTGGGAAACAAGTTGGGTGTATAGTTGGAAAAATGGGATTTCATTTTAGGGTATACGATGTTACCCCCACAATTTTTAGACACTAAGCCATATTATAGTTACGCTACAATTAATACTTGTTTTCAGTATGTACACCACAACAAATTACAATTATAGTCCTAATCCAGTAAAATCTAAAAATGAAAAAATTGGGGGGGCGGGGGGGTTAACAATATTTAGGTGTACTATACATCGTATATGATTCATCATTGTTTTAATCCAATATTAAAAGCATAAATCATACGACGAGAGGATAATTGAATTAAGAGCAACACGTCAACGTGTTCTACACAATCCATTTCGATTGAATCTATCAATCGGTTCCAAATTCTCATTTTAATCAAAAAAATTCAAAAGTCAAAATTTACTTCACATTAATCATTAAATTTCGCTTCAAAAAAAAAAAAAATATAAAAACACTAGTCACAAATTCATTGAAAAATTATTTGTATATATGTAATTAACAAGAACGGAAATATAATGTAAATAGATCTATTATGTTTATTGAGAAAACCCGTATTTATTTAGTAAGTAAAATTTTCAGATATTGTTTCAAAGAGTCGGAACGGATCCTTCTTTGCGTCAATCATAGCTTCTCTTTTATTCCAGTTTTCTCTTCCTCTTCATGTTCTTCTCGTACAATTCTTTCATGACTGTTAAATGAAGTAGAAAGAAATAATTTATATATTTTGGCGTACATAAAACTGAAATTGAGAACTGTTGGGCTGTGATGCCAAGGTCCAGTCCAACATAGGCTGTGATGATGAAAAAGGCCCAAAATGGAATGAGATGGCTCACTTAACTGAGCCCAATAGTTCAATCCATACTTAGTTGCTTTGGGACCGTTGGATCGACCAAATTGAGAACTGTTGGACTGTGATGCCAAGGTCCAGTCGAACATAGGCTGTGATGATGAAAAAGGCCCAAAATGGAATGAGATGACCCACTTAACCGAGCCCAATAGTTCAATCCATACTTAGTCGCTCTGGGACCGTTGGATAGACCTACTGATCAATGGTTGTTAGATTTTAGTATAAATAATATCTTTTTCTCTTTCTTGACGGATGGAATCGTCATTTTCTGTTCTCTGATTTCTTCGTGTCTTCTGGAACCTTCAAGGGTTTTTCATCTCTGTGACTCTTTCATCTTCTCCGTGTGAGATTTTCTGGTGATTATCTTGGTGATAATCGTGTCCTTGTGTGAGTCTCCTTTGTATGAGTAAACCGTTGTGAGAAGTGATCTGTCCATTTCGTGTTCCATTGAAGCGACTTTGTACTTTGGGATTGTGAGGGCTTGGGGTTGAGTTCGGTGCATCTATGAAGTTTATGGGGGCGTATGGTCTGAGCCTATGAAAGATCTAAATCTTGATGCTGTGGTTTAGGTTTTTCTTGTAAAGCTATTTTATATTTTTGGTTGTATAATTTTAGATCTTGGATTGATGGTGGTTTGTTGAGTTGATTCGAAACTGGACTGTGGAAAACGAGAAAGTTTTGTGAATTCTCGCCTCGATCTGTAAAAGGACCCTAAAATAGGAGGTCATGCGGGTTCGATCTTGAACTGGAACCCTAACTTTGAAGCTGTAAGGGCTCAGTTCGTGATTTGGTGATCTGGAGAACACTCACCCCTTGCTGCGATAACTAATTCCTGATCGGTGCTCGTGGTTAATCGTTTAATCACCCTTCAGTTTGCACTTCTTGATCCCTACATGATCACACACACACGTAACACTGTGTATAGTTCATTATATCTCTATTTTGATATGGTTAATTGTTGTATACTGTAACTTGTTACATTAATTAGTGATATCTCGTTATATTTGTCTGTGATCTCTGTCTGTGATCGTTTAAGTTTGAGTGATTCAAATTGAGCCTTGACCTAAGAACTTGATTCTCACGGAATCAACCTTAGGTTCTCCAGATATTGTTTTTTAATACTGAGATTTTGTTTCTGCCTGCATTGTTGTATTTTTTGGTTCTTGTGGAGTTTACACTAGACTATGTACTGATCTTGTTATTGTTTTGAAATTATTTGTGATTAAAAATAATTGTGACTCATTCATTTGATTGTATGCTTTTTGTGTGATCTAAAACATAATTTTTTTGCGAAGGTCAAATTCAACAGATTTTTCAAAAGTTGATCATCTGTCCTTTTCTTATTTCTTGAAAATACTGTGTGTTATTTTTCAACAATAAAACATGACAAAAGCATCTTTTGAACTTGGTATTTTTGATGGAGAAGGGAATTTTCCCATTTGGCAACAAAAAATGCGAGGTGTTTTAGTTCAGCAAAAGGTTTCTAAAGCAATAACAGATGAATTTCTTGATACCATGACAGATGATCAAAAGGAAGAATCTGATGAACTTGCTTATACCTCCATTATTTTGCATTTGTCTGATCAAGTTTTAAGAAAAGTAGTCAAACATAATACTGCTAAGGCCCTATGGGATGAATTGGAGAAGCTTTACCTACCTAAGTCTCTGCCTAATAAGTTGTTTCTGTTAGAGAAATTTTTCAGCTTTAGGATAGATCGTACTAGAGACTTAGAAGACAGCTTAAACATTTTTAATAAGTTAGTTCAAGACATTATTAATACATGTGAGAAAGTTTCTGATGAGTATAAGGTTGTAGTGCTACTTAATGCTATACCTGATGCCTACAAAGAGGTTAAAGTCGTCATTAAGTATGTTAGAGATACTCTTACACCTGATATTGTCATAGAATCTTTGAGTAAGGACCTTGAACTTAAGTCTGAGAGAGATAATAGTAGCCAGGAAAACTTGTTTGCTAGGGGGAGGACTTTAAGTAGGTCTAGTGGTACTCAAGAAAGCCATAATAATCAAGGAAATAACAATAGGAGAAAGTTTAGAAGTAGAGATAGGTCCAAGTCAAGAATTAGGACTAAAAAGTGTTAATGGGTGTGGGAAATCTGGTCATTTTATTAAAAACTGTTATGAGAAGAAAAATGAACAGAAAGGTAAGGGTGTTGATGAAGGTAATGTGGTAGAATTTGAAGGTTCTGCTATAGTTGATGTATATGCTGTAACTGAAAATTTATCTAACTCTGCAAATATTGTTGATGAGAGTCAAAAAAGAATGGATCTTGGATTCTGGTTGTAACTTCCATATGACATCTAGGAAGGCATATTTAGAAAATTTTAGGAAAATTGATGGAGGAAAAGTGGTTACGGGCAATAATTTAGCTTGCAGAGTTGAGGGAGTTGGGAATGTCACTTTGAAATTTGATAATGGATACATTTACACTCTTGAAAGGATGAGGTATGTCCCTGAATTAAATAGGAACCTGATTTCCATGGGAAATCTAGATGATATGGGGCTGCAAGGAAAAATAGGAGATGGTTTTTTGAAGGCGATAAAAGGATCACTTGTTATTTTTAAAGGTGTTAAAAGAAATGAGGTTTATGTGATCAAAGCTAGTACAGTGTTTGATCACATAGGCGAGTCTTCAAGAGTTGAAGTTGATGCCACTTTAAAATGGCACAAGAGATTGGCCCATGTAGGTGAAAATGGCCTATACATCCTTTATAAGAAATGTGTGTTTTGGAGAAGACTTTATATCTAAGGTGTCCTTTTGTGAAAACTGCACTTTAGGTAAGTAGCTAGGCTGCATTTTAACACAGGAAAACATAGAACCACCTCAATCCTTGAATATATACATGCTGATTTATGGGGACCTTATCCACCATCACTCAAGGAGGAAATAAATATTTCTTGTCCTTGATTGATGACTATTCTAGGAAGGTTTGGGTTTAATTGTTGAAATATAAATCTGAAACCTTTGAGAAATTTAGAACTTGGAAGATTCTGGTGGAAAATGAAATTGGGAAGAAAACTAAGGTCCTTAGGACAGATAATAGTCTTGAATTTTGCAATGCTGAATTTGATCAATTGTGCAAAAGTGCTGGCATTAAAAGGCACAAAACAGTACCTTATACACCTCAGCAGAATGGAGTGGTTGAGAAGATGAATAGAACCTTGTTAGATAAGGTTAGGTGCATGTTGATAGGCTCAGGAGTTCCTAAGGTTTTATGGGGTGAAGTGATAAGTGTGTTTTTACACACTTATTTGGATCATAAACATGACTTAAACATGGATAAAATGGTTGAATTGTGACTTAATCCAGTTAAATTTATGCATTGTAGGTAATTCAATGGAAATTGTGGAATTCAGGAGAAAAGAGCCGAAGAAGGACCAAAACGCAACAATTTGATAGTTCGAGGACCAAAGGTGCAAATATTGAAAAGTTGAGCTAAATGCAAAACGAGAGGGAAGACATGCCAAGTATGAGCTCAATGACAAAGCAAAACAACTGGAAGAAGAAAATATTGAAGAGGGACTGAAATGAAGACAATTGAAAGTTGGAGGACTAAAGCGCAAATACTCAAAAGATATGCCGAATGAGGGGCATAAGAATTGATGGTATCAATCATCAATTGGAAGATAAAATTGGTTGAAAAGATGAAGAAATCGAAGAAAGAAGTCAAGAGAAGCAACAAAGAAGTTC